CAACTTAAACAACAGCAGGCGATGGACTGGGCTGTCATCACCGCCCTCCAGCTCTCAGTGGTGGCTCTGAGCAGCGTCCAGCGCTTGCCTTAGCTCTCCATATGCTGGTTAATGAAATCCTTTTGCCCTGCGACTCCCCGCGTCCCCCAGGAAGGGCGAGCTGCACACCCCAGCGGTCTCTGCCGATCGCACACACGGGGACATTTGCCGCTCCGCTCCCTGCTAGGAGGGAGGGGGTAAAACGTACCCCTTCGATGCTCACTGGGACGGAGCCCCGGTGATTGATTCTCTGCTTCTTCCTGCTTTTAGACACACAATAGCACAGGCTAACCTCAAACAGGCCAAGTTTTACCCAAAAGCAGATGTGAATGCAATAGTCTTATAATAGCACCTCAGGGCCAGTCCGTACTGCGCTGCTTTAATTAAAGGGCTGCAAGTCCCAACCAGACGAGTTAATGAGAAAACAAAGAACCACACAGTCTTCTTCCCCACAAAGTCTCCACTGTCCATAAAGCTGCACTGACCTTAACTAAAAATGGATGCAGAAGTAGCTAAATGAATGCAACCTTTAAGCACGGATAAGCTCTCATGAGCAAACTCCTTCAGGGCTGTTTCTGGGATTTCCTATACATTAAGCTGGGATAAAGAGGCTATAATCCAGCCCAAGACAATCCATTTTGGTGAGAGACCCCTCTTTAGAGATGTACAAACACCCAGCGCAGGGATGTGGGACCCCAGCTCCGCAGGTACCCGACTGCCCGGTACGCAGAGCGCTCCTTCCAGCACAAACCGCCGTGGCAGCTCTCCGGTTCCGGAGCCACCGGCATTGCTGCATGCAACAGGCGAGATGGGTCGCAGGTACCAACTCCAAACGCTCCGAATCCACGCAGCGTGGAGAAACGAACGCTGTGCTCTCGGATGGGCGAAGGGGCAAGGGGCTGGGAGGACGTGGGTGCTGGGTGGGTTTGCTGCTCCCCCCGGGGGAGCTGTGCTGGGTCCCCAGGCAAGGCTGTTCCCCGGGCAGCGCTGCCGCTCAGCGGCCGCCGGCCACACCGCAGCTCCAGGGCCTGGGACAGAAAGGAGGAGATGAGCGGCTAAGAAAAACCCAGGAAAACCTGAAGTTTCCTCTCCTTAGCACGGCCTTCTGGGAGGGGAGAGGTTGCAGGAAAAAAATAAAGCAAAGGCATAAGCCTTGGACTAGGCTGTAAGAATGTGCCAGGGTGTAAACATAGCAACCTACGAGTGATTGAGAGTTAAAAGCTGCATTAAGCAAAATACACATTATTTCCAACACCCACCAGGAGGGCTGGTTAAAGCTTTTATGGCCATATATTAAACCCCATTACCAAAACCGATGACCCCAAGCAATGCCTCCTATCTTGCATGTTCTTGTTAAATTGAGGATATTGTACTCCCTCCCCATCTTTAAGACGCTGGAGATCTGCAATGTGCTTCTGCTTCCAGAAACAGGCTGGCAGGCCAGTTCCCATGGAGGTTTGGGTCATCTGTCTTGGAATCCAAGAACCAGAAACACGTGGTAACTCCTACCCCACACTTGCCTAAGTCAGTAGGACACTCTCATACCTGTAATTCCGAAGTTCCTGAAACACATATACCAAACCAAAGCAAGCTTTTGCCCTCCTCAAGGCTTGACTTAAAAAAAGCCAGATCAACTGCGGGTTTGGGCGCAGTGGTTAGAGATCTATAGAGGAAAAATATCTGCAGCTTCACGCAAGAGCGCTGCTCAGCATTAATATCACCCTACAGCTGGTCAGAGGTAGAAACCGTGCTAGCACGAGAAATTGCTTGCTGACCTCGTGCTCGCTTACTGTGCTGTAATCGGAGCAAGAGAAACAGCTCTTTCAACAAGAAGGATCATGCATGTACAAAACTTGTACAAAACTTGAAAGGATTTCATTAGTTGGGGTGTTTTGAAGAAAGTAATGTTGTTTCCAAGCTGCTTCTTGAGCTCCAGAGGTGTGAGGAATATATCAGAAGTTGCAGGCAGCAGGTCAACTGCGTAAATGAGCACCGGAGTATTTGCATCACGCGTTCATCTCACCAGGACCCCTTCTCCTAAAGTGAGAAACACGTGTTTCTCATAAGGATAAGCTTCCTGCCCCCAAAATAACATTTTTCAGAAGCTCTGAGCGGACCAATGCCACGCACGGCATCTCTCCAGCTCAGCCAACGGGGAAGTTTGGATATGGCCAGCGTGGATTGGCTTTGTGAGCTACCCAGAGGTGGTCACCCACCAACCTGAGTCACCCGCAGCGCAAGCAGAGGGAACCACCCCTCGGTCACTTTATAAAGGCAGCTTAAATATAGTCTGTGACCCTACACCGGTATAAATCTAAATAAATATAAATCTAAATCGGTATACCTGGCGTCATATCGCTCCTTTCCAGGGCAGAAAGCTAAGAGAAATTCAGTACATGCTACTGGAAACACATCTGTAGTTGTTAACCACAGTTTTTAGATGTTGGACTGATTGCAGATAATAGCTATACGCCTTCCCGGCCAATGTAAATAATTAAATACCAGCAGCCCAGTTCAAAGCACTCAGCAGCTGACCCTCTTGCCTCTCCCCCCCCCACCCCGCAGATTGCTTTACCCCATTCAGCAGGGGACATCTAAGAGGTTATCTATTTAATCCCAGCCTCGCACAAAAAGGGATGCTGCTTCCAAGAGCTGGAACTCTAACTGATGAAATCTAGCCGGGCTAAACAACACTGGCAGCAACTGCGGCACTGGTGGAAACAATAGGGACCTCAGGAGAAGAACAGATTTAGATTTCAAGACAAGCAACTGATTTTTAAAGGATAACTTCAGAAGGTTACTCAAGGGGTTGCACCCAACAATATCAAGAAGGTTAAGGTGTAACAAGAGCCAGGTATCTTATTTGCAGAGGTACCCGCTAACGATGCATTGTAAGACTGAGAGGAGGAACAATTACTGAAGTTAATTTTGAAACTTCCCTCTTACACCACCACATGATAAACAAATCACCCCCATCACCCCAGCCCAGACACAAATCCCTAACCCAGGACTTTCGGAGGCAGGAATTGAAGAAAGCCTCCTCCAGACCCATCCTATTTTTCTCATGGTTCTCTCTCCCCCTACCGTCTCCCAGATTTTCTTGTATTGCAAAAGGATCGCAGGAGGAACTCGGGTACAGATGTCCTCTCTTCCATCAACAGTTGTGTGGAGACGCAGGTTTATGTAACACAC